TAATTTGAGCCTCTTCGAGCTGGTGACTAAGTGTCCATTTGCCACCTCCCTGCCAGCCCAGCCCAGCCCTGCCCTGCTCCCTCCCTGGGCACGACTCTCACACACCAGCTAATTCCCTTCCCTTTCTGTTTAACAGGTCATTTTCCTCCATGGCCTTGGAGACACGGGGTGAGTGTCCCTGGAGCTGGCTCCGGCTGGGATGTGTGGATTGCCAAACACAGATCCTGGCCTTTTGCTGCTGCTTTCCCTGGGGGCTTCTCTGGGATCTGTGTGGGGCTTTGGGCTGGGGTCTGCAGCCATTCCTGCACCAGCCTCTCATGGAATGGCAGGGAATTGCTGCCAGCAGCTGTCTGCTCTTGAATATTTATGATGCCGGCAGCCTGGCAGCCCCCCACCCCCCGCGGGTGGATTTTGTGCTGCCTTCAGGGATTGCTGATAAGCACTGCGGCTTTTCCAGGCCTTGGCAGGGCTGGCAGCTGGGCTGGGCCTGCACGAGGCCACCTCAGAGGTCCCATGGTGGTGAAAAAGGGCTCCTCCCTGTCCAGGAGATTCCCACCTCCCTGGGAATTCTGGTGGGAATCCAGAATCCAAAGCCTCCAGGGCTTTGTGTGCTCCTCTCAGATGGGATCGGTGCTGGGGGGGCCTAGGCTGATGGGGTGGATAAAATAAGCTCAGGGAAGGGGTTTGGGGGCAGCAGCCTTGGGAAAATGGCTCGGACAAGCCTTAGACTCATCTCTCCTGTCCCTCCCCAGGCACAGCTGGGCCGATGCTCTCTCCTCCATCCGCCTCCCCTACGTGAAGTACATCTGCCCTCACGCGTAAGTGCTGCCCTGGGGGGGCTCCTGGGGTCCCTGGGGCTGCCAAGGCTCCTGGGGGAGGCAGGTGGTGGCCTGAGCCCAGCAGGGCTGCCCAGCCAGACTGGCTCTGCTGCCCTGCTCAGTTCCTGCTGCAGGCAGAGCTGTTCCCACAGAGCAGAACCAGAGGCTCTTTGCTTTCCCCTCCTGTCGTGTTTATCCCTGGTGGCTGCGGGGAAAGACAAAGGCGCTGGAGCTCCCTGTGCATCCCCAGCAGGAAGGGCAGAAGTGTCAGTCTTGCTGCTCCTCTCAGACTTCAGCTAAACCACCCAAAATGTCCCTCCACAGGCCCCGGATCCCGGTCACCCTCAACATGAAGATGGTCATGCCCTCCTGGTCAGTGCTCTGGGGAACAGGGCTGGGTGGGACCCTTTGGGGAGTGAGAGGGATGGGGAGACAAAATCCACTGCCCTGTGAGGGCCAGGGAAGGAAGGGCAGAGCACACCCAGCTCCTGCCTCCCCACACTCAGGGTGCTGGGAGAGGTTTTGGCTGATCCTGCTGTTTCTCCCAGGTTTGACCTGATGGGATTGACTCCAGATGCACCTGAGGATGAAGCTGGGATCAAGAAAGCTGCAGAAAACAGTAAGGAGCTCTGGGGAGGGGGTAGTGGAGAGCACTGTGTGCCTCTCCCTCCCTGTAACTGGAGCCTTCCTTCCACCTCTCCTTTGTTTCCGCTGTCCTGTGATCCCCGTAAACATTTCCTCTGGGATCTGTGGCACCTTCCTGTCCCTGATGTGCACCCTGAGGTGCTGGGTGATGCTTTTCAGCCCCTCTGTCCTTCCACTGACCCTCCCATCTCCTTCCAGTTAAAGCAATCATCGAGCACGAGATGAAGAACGGGATCCCCCCCAACCGCATCATCCTGGGGGGCTTCTCACAGGTGAGCATCAGGACCCCAATTCCTGCTCCACCTGTCCCAGGTGGCTGTGTGAGCTGAGGGTGGCCCTGCATTCCCCGTGGCACTGATTCCACGTTCCTCCCTGCAGGGCGGTGCCTTGTCGCTGTACACGGCTCTCACCTGCCAGCACCAGCTGGCCGGGATCGTGGCGCTCAGCTGCTGGCTCCCGCTCCACAGGGCCTTCCCACAGGTACCCCACTGCAGGGACCCTCGGCTTCTCCCCCTGGAGCTCTGCGTTTCTCCCCTCATGAGCTGCTGGCTCACGTGTTGGGGGCACAAAGCACCTGCCCCACTGGTTTCCCACTCACCTGAGCATCCCCTCCTCGTGGCAGGCGGCGAACAACGGCGTGAACAAGGACATTGCCATCCTGCAGTGCCACGGGGAGATGGATCCCATGATCCCCGTGCGCTTCGGGGCCCTCACTGCCGAGAAGCTCAAGTCTGTCGTCACCCCCACCAAGGTGCAGTTCAAAACCTACCCCGGAGTGATGCACAGTTCCTGTCCTCAGGTCAGTGCTGGGTGTGGAGGGAGGGATGATCAGTGATGGGACCCATGGCAGTGGCCTGGAGCTGGGACAGGGGAGGGTTGGGGTGGATTTCAGGAGAAGGTTCTTCCCCCGGAGGGTGCTGGCACTGCCCAGGCTCCCCAGGGAACGGGCACAGCCTGAGGCTGCCAGAGCTCCGGGAGGGTTGGGACAGCGCTCCAGGGATGCCCAGGCTGAGATCACTGGGGGTCTGTGCAGGGCTGGGCTGGATGATCCTGGTCCCTTGGCCTTTGGGATCTCTGGGACCTACCCCAGCACTCTAGGTCAGGCAGGGTGGGGAACACACGAGATTTGTTCCCGACTTGCTCTGGGAGGCTGCAGAGCCTCGTGCCCCATTCCCGGGGCTCAGCCCGGCCTTTGGGGAGCCCCGGAGTGACGGGCTGTGCGCTGCCCGCAGGAGATGATGGCGGTGAAGGAATTCATCGAGAAGCTGCTGCCCCGGATCTGAGCGGAGCCCCTGGGGACTGTCGCAGGGGAGGGTGCCGAGGTCCCGGCCGCCCGTGTGTCCCTGTGACCCGCCCGCTGCGAACGGAAGCCATGGCCCCCCCAGCGCACCTCCCGCCGCCCCCGCCCTCGCACCGCGTCCCCTCCGGCCGGGGCTGCCCCGCTGCTCCCGGAGCCCTCATCGGAGCTGCCTAAGGCGAGTCTGGCCTTTTCTCTCCTGCTCTGGCTCCGAGCGCTTCCCGAGGGGGTGTCACCGTCCCCTCGGACCCCCGCGGGGCTGGCACGGTGCGGGTGAGGTTTTCCTGTTGGGTTTGGGGTTTTTGTACCAGTATTAGGGGCGGGATGTGCCCGGCTGCGGTGGGAGGAGCGGGGCGGGGCTGGGGCACCCCTGGGGCTCGGAGCTCTGCCCTTGGTGGCCGCTCTCGGCCTCCGCTCAGGCGACTCACGGGTTTTCAGTCAGAGCTCAGGAACCCGGGACTCCCCTGCGGACGCCTCCAGGCTCCGGGGCAGGCTCTGCCCTGGGCTGGCACCGCCAAAGGCTGCCCGGGGCCGGCGGGGAGGGTCAGTGCAGCTCCCGCACCTCCCGCACGGCCCCGCCTGTCACACACGCACACTCCCCTCAGCCATCGGCCTGGGGCAGCTCTGCCCTCCTGGGATAATCACCTCCCTCCTCCTGCTCCTCCTCCTCTTGTTGCTTTTACAATCTCCATCTCCTCCTCTGCCCCGCTGGGGTCCCAGAGGCATCTCCCCCCTCCCAGCCCAGCTCTGCACCCTCGGAGCCCCCAAGCTTCGTTTACACTCACAGAGCCACCGGCCCCATCTTTAATGTCTTCTCTTGCTGCTACTTGTCCTTCCCTTTGGTCTCGGGCTGGCTCGAGGAGGGGGAGGTGAGGGGGTCCCTGGACCCCGGGTTTGGCTCCTGGTGCAGCTGGAGGGAGCAGCTTTGCTCCCAGCCATCATCTGACCGGCATCTGAGCCCCTGGTGCTGCTGTGTGTGCCCCATCCTCTGTGCTCCTGGGACCTCCCTGCTCCCCGGGGCTGGGGGCTCTAGCCCCTCCCCATGTACAATCACCAGTGCCCCTCACCTGTGTCCCCTCCCCAGTGCTGGCATCATGCTGGGACCCCGAATGTCTCCTCCTGGGGGGCTCCTGGCTGCCCCTCCCTTCCCATGGGGCCCAGGGCAGTGGCTGTGGAGCAGCTCTGCCCTCACCCCCTCTTCCCCCGGGCTGAGCCCCTGCTGGGGGCTGATCATGGCTTTTAAAACACCCCCACATTCCCCTGGCCCCAGGGCTGGCCCTGCTCCCCCTGCCCGGTGCCCTGGGGCCAGTGAGGTGAGGGCTGCCCTGGGGGGCTCAGCCCCAGCAGTTCTGCTCCAGCCCTGCCCTTCCTGCCGGGGCTGCGCAAAGCAATAACCGCCCTCTGGAGAGTGGGGCCCACCCTGGGCTGGCCTCTTGGCTTGGGCTTGGAGTTTTTGCCCCTTTCAGCAAGTCTGAAAGTGGCAGAGCTGGCACCGGGGGCAGCCCAACCTCTGCCCTGCCCTGGGCTCTGCTCTGCCCCGGGCTCTGCCCTGGGCTCTGCTCTGCCCTGGGCCCTGCCCTGCTGGCTCTTCTATGCTGTGTTTTAATGCTGCTGTGCCCCCACCCCCCCACGCTCGGCTGGGGGGCATGAGAGGGTCGCAGGGGTGGGATGGCAGCTCTTTGGGGTCACCAGGAGCTGGCAGGGGTGGGATGGCAGCTCTTTGGGGTCACCAGGAGCTGGCAGGGGTGGGATGGCAGCACCCTGGGGGTACCAAGAGCTGGTGATGGACAGACTGACCTGTTTGACTGTGAACTGGAACCGTGTGTGATGGGGGGGCCTGGGACCATCCCTGGGGGCCCCGTGGGCCCCTCTGCAGAGCATTCCTGCTCACTCCCTGCCCGAGCAGTGCCGGGAACCCGGGAGGGAGAGCGGCTTCTCTCCATTCCTCAATACAGCTTTGGGTTTTTTTAGTTAGTTTTTCTTCTCTCTCTTGTCTTCCTTGTACATGTTTGGGGTTTGTTTTTTTTTTTTTGTGTGTGTGTGCATTCCACAGAGAATTAAGGTGAAATAAATCCTCAACCTATCCTGGAGCTGGCGTCATCCCTGGCCAGGCAGGAGAGATTTGGGGGGGAGTGGGGTTGGCACGAGGCCCTAGGGTGCCATTTTTAGGGGCAGCAGCTCTGGCTGAAGGGAAGCAGAACAAAGCTGCCACTTAGAAAGTAGGAAAGTTTATTTTAAAAACAAATCAAAAGCTCAATTCATAATTTAGGAGCATAAGTTATTCATCCAGCCGACAGCACACGGGGCCAACTACGTCATCCCTGCCCAGCAGAGCCCTGGGAGCTGCCAGGAATAAATAGGAGCAGTGTGGGACAGGGGGGCAGAGCCAGCTCCTGGGGTTTGGGGAGTGGCTGCCACAGGAGGCCAAACCAGGCACCGAGGGGGGGCTGTGGGCAGCCAGGCCAGGCTGAGCTGGGGCGTCTCTGGCTCAGCAGGAGAGGAGGGAGATGAGATTTGGTCCCCAAAACCATGCTGGGGTGGGGGGTGGAAGAAGCCCTGGGCTGGGGAGATGAGCTGTGGTGGCCTTGGAATGTGACTGGTCCCTGTGGGAGGCTCCTGGTCCCTCTCTGTGCCGGGGCAGGGGCAGAGGTGCCTCGGGCTCCCCCTGAGCCCACCAGCCAGGTGGGGCAGGAGGGAACAGGGGCTGTGCTGCAGTTTGGGCTCAGCAGGACTCAGGTGTCCCTGGCTGCAGCCCCTGGACATTCCCACAAGGGGTTCCACGCCAGGGGTGCCAAACCAGGCCTGGCTGTGTTCTCTGTTTGTTGTGGTTCTGCTCTGTGAGATGCAAAGACCTGGGGGATGAGGAATAGGGAGGCTGAGGATGCTCCAGCCTTCCTGCCCCGTGCCAGAGGCAGGAGGGGGAGCTGGAACTGCTCTCCCAGGATGGTGACAGCTCTCGGGGAAGGAGGCAGTGCTGGCTCAGAGCAGCCCAGGGCCCGGCCAGCCCTCAGCCACAGCTCAGTTCTTGCTGAAGCCCGTGGGGTTCTGCAGCTGCCACCGCCACAGGTCCTCACCTGGAACAGGGAGAAGGGAGGTGAGGGGGGACAGGGGCCGCAGTGCCCGCTGTGCCAGGGAGGGGATGCCCTTACACATCTTGTCCAGGCCAAAGGCAGCTTTCCAGCCCAGCTCCCGCTCGGCCAGCGCGGGGTCAGCGTAGCAGGAGGCCACGTCTCCCTCCCGCCGGGCCGTGATCTGGTACTTGATCTGCAGGGAGAGCAGCACCGTGAGCTCCCAGAGGGGCTGAGGCCCAGGAGCTGAGGGAGCTGTGCCAGGGGGGATCAGGGGGTCTGTGGGAGCAGCTCCCCTGTGCCTGTGATGCTGCAGCTCTGCCCTCACCTCCCTCCCCGAGGCTTTCTCCATGGCCCGGACCATCTGCAGCACGGAGTAGCCGGTGCCTGTGCCCAGGTTGTAGATCTGGGAGAAGGAGAAAGGACAGGGATCAAGGGGAGAAGGGCCAGGCCCCCCCTTTGGGACCCCTACACCTCCCCAGGACTGGCAGCACCCCGAGGTTGGTACCTTGCAGCCACAGTTCTCCTTGAGCTTCTTGAGAGCAGCGATGTGGCCCTTGGCCAGATCCACGACGTGGATGTAATCCCTGACTCCTGTGGGGACACAGAGGCTGAGGGCAGGGCCCAGGGTGCAGCCAGGGCTTTGGAAATCCCAAATTCCACCCATCCCATGACGCACCCGTTCCATCGTCTGTCTTGTAGTCGTTCCCAAAGACGCTCAGGAATTCCCGGCGTCCCACTGCCACCTGCACAGAGGGACAGCCCCATGGGAGCCCCATCACCCTCTGTCCCCTCCCTGTGACCCCCCAAGGGCTGTGGGGGGCGCTACCTGAGCCACGTAGGGCATGAGGTTGTTGGGGATCCCTTGAGGATCCTCTCCGATCATCCCCGACTCGTGGGCGCCGATGGGGTTGAAGTAGCGCAGGAGGACGGCGTTCCAGTCCTGGGGACACACGGACGGCGCTGCCCGGTCACCCCCGTGGGGACACACCTGGGCTGCAGCCCCTCGGGGCCGCTCCTCACCCTCTCTGCTTTGCAGAGATCCCGGATCATCTCCTCGATGAAGAACTTGGATTTGCCGTAGGGGTTGGTGCAGCCCCCCACCGGGTGGTTCTCGTCCAGGGGGAGGTACTTGGGGTCCCCGTAGACGGTGGCGGAGCTGCTGAACACGATGTTCCTCACGCCGTGGGCCTTCATGGTCTGGGAGAGGACAACGACCCAGCTCTGTGCCCTGTGCCAGCCCTGCACAGGACAGGGCCTGGGCACGGGGAGAGCAGAGGGAACAGCACAGGATCACTGCCGGCTCCTCTCACCTCCAGCAGCCGGATGGTCCCGGTGAGGTTCACTCTGTAATATTCCAGAGGCTTCTGCACTGACTCCCCCACGGCCTTCAGCCCCGCAAAGTGCATCACGGCCGAGAAGCGATGCTGCAGGGGGAAGGCATCAGTGCCACGGCAGCAGGAACCGGCCACAACTCCCCCGGGCGCTCCGTTCAGCCAGCCCGGGGGGCTCCACGGCCTTTCCTCCCCGCTCCCGTGGCTCCCACCCCTGCCAGGGACCCCAGGGCACTGCAGCTCCTGCTCTCACCTTCCTGAAGAGCTCCTGGAGCGCGGCCTCGTCCGTGATGTCGAGCTCCTGGAAGAGCACGGGCCGGTGCGCGATCTCCTGCACCCGCCGGAGGCTCTCGGGGAGCTCCTCGGAGCCTGGGGGATGGAGGGGAGTGAGGGATGGCTGCAGTCGGGCACAGCCCGGCCCCGCATGGGGCTCCCCGCACCTCGGATGGCGTTGTGGAAGTTATCGATGACCACGGGGACGAATCCCGCCTGCAGCAGCTCCAGCACGCAGTGGCTGCCGATGTAGCCGGCGCCGCCCGTCACCAGGATCTCCTCTGCCATGGTTCCCTGCGGGAAAAGCCCCGGACGCTTCAGCTGGGGCTCAGCCCGGCCCAGGCACGGCTGCCCGGCCGCCAGCCCTGCCCCGAGGGACGGGCGGGGCGCTCCCGGCCAGCCCGGTCACACCTCCCGGACACGGAGCTGCCACATCCCGGAGAGGAGCCCCGGCTCTGCCTGGTAAACCCAGCCGAGCTCCTGGCTTCACCCACATCCCTCAGGGCAGGAGTTCTCACTATTAATTAAGTAATTATTGATTAATTGAGGTGATCTCCGCAGGGGTATCAGCTCTGCCCTTCAGCCATTCCCTGTTTTCCCCCAGCCTCCCTTCCCGGTGCTGGCCCCGCTCCTCGCAGGAGCGCGGACTTTGGGACACCCAAAGGGCAGCGATTGCTGCGGGACCCGTCCCTGGCACGGGGAGCACCGAGGGAAGGACCCGAGCTGGGAAATTCCTTCCCTCCCGGGGCTGCGGAGCCCCCCAAACCACAGCTCCCAGCTGGGAGAGGGCGGGGAAGGCGAAACAAGGCGGATTTCAGCAGGGCGGGAGGGAGCGGAGGGGTCCCGGGGGGACAGAACGTACCCCGGGGACCGGAATTACTCCAGAGGCCCAGGGATACCCCAAGCCCCGGGGGTTTGGGCTCTCCCCACCAAAGGAAGCAGGGGAGGGCAGCACACCCGTCCCTCTGCCCGTTCCTGCCCGTTCTCCCCTCCGCCTCCCCCCGGTCTCTCACCCGCCGCTGCCGCCGCTCCCGCTCAGCCCCGCGAGGGGCGCGGCCCCTTTAAGGCCGGGTCTTGGCCCCGCCCCCCCGCGCCACGCGCGCGGCTCCTCCATGGAAACGTGTCAGGGCTACGGGGCGGCGGCGCGGACAAAACACCGCGGGCGGGCGGCGGCCACCGGTGCGCGCGACAGGGGGCGGGGCCACCGCGGGCAGCCCGGAGCCGCAGCGCCCCCTGGCGGCGGGAGGAGACCGCCCCCAAACCCCGAATTATTGCCCCAAAACCCGAATTATTGCCCCAAAACCCCTGATTTATTGTCCCTAAACCATGAATTACTGCCCCAAACCCGAACTATTACCCCAAAACCCCGGATTATTGCCCCAAAACCCCTGATTTATTGCCCTTAAACCATGAATTACTGCCCCAAAACCCCTGATTTATTGCCCCAAAACCCCGAATTATTGCCCCTAAACCATGAATTACTGCCCCAAAACCCCTGATTTATTGCCCCAAAACCCCGCATTGCCCCAAAACCCGAATTATTGCCCCAAAACCCCTGATTTATTGCCCCTAAACCTCTGATTTATTGCCCCAAAACCCCGAATTATTGCCCCAAAACCCCGAATTATTGCCCCTAAACCATGAATTACTGCCCCAAAACCCCTGATTTATTGCCCCAAAACCCCGCATTATTGCCCCAAAACCCGAATTATTGCCCCAAAACCCCTGATTTATTGCCCCAAAACCCCGAATTATTGTCTAATTCCACCTAATTTCTGTGGCATTTATTAGCAGTTAGAGTTTATTGAAGTTAATGTGGAAAGGAGGCACGTGCAGCCTCAAACCCACCCTGCCCCCTGAAAGGACAAAGTTTCTACGCTCATCTCCAGTCTCACAAATAAACAGTTGAATAAATTATTGTAAATAGAAGAGCTGGGGGTGGTTCCCAAGGACTTGATCACCGTGAGGAGCAGGAGGGTTTCACACACTCTGCTCCCTGGGGGTGGAAGGAATTCCTCACCCCCCAGCAGGAATTCATCACCCCATGATGATGCAGTTTTCATGCAGAAGAGGCACTTGGAACCACACCAGCAGCAAAAGCTCCTTAGCTGGTTCAGCTGAATCAAATTTTTAATAGTTCAGACTATTAAACAATGTGTTTATTACTCCTGGAGGTATCTTACAACAGATACACAGTGCAGTACCACAGTCCCTTTGGGCTCAGCCTTTGGAGGGCTGTGCTGGGAGGGAAGGGAGGAAGGGCAAAGCCTGACCTGGAGCAGAGCTCTACCTGCGAAAGCCGTGGGCTGTGCAGGCTTTGCTGCTGGTCAGCTCAGAGCTCTCCTCAGCCCCTCCACATCCTCCCTTCTCTAAGGCACATGGGGACATCCTTGAGGTCCAATATAATACAGTGGAATAAAATACTCTCTCATTTCTTCCTAATTCTGGTGGATTTTGAGCTGCCTCTCAAATGCTGAGCTGGGAAGGAGCTCGGGAGATTAGAGAGGAATCCCAGACAGTGCTGGAGCCTCGGTTTCTTCTTGATCCAAGGAGAAATTCCACTCAGTGTCACAGTCTGCAGGAGGCCTGAGACACCTTGGAATTGGTTTTTCTGTTCAGGGCATTGCAGATGAAGGTGCCTGTGTCCATCAGCTTCTGGAGATCCACTCCCTGCATGGGAAAGGCACAGGACACGCCTTGAGGGACATCTCCCACCATCCCAGGCTCTCCAAGCCCCATCCAGCCTGGCCCTGGACACTTCCAGGAATCCAGGGGCAGCCCCAGCTGCTCTGGGCACCCTGTGCCAGGGTCTCCCCACCCTCACAAGGAATATTTTTCTCCAATATCCCATCCCACCCTTCCCTCTGGCAGGGAGCAGCCACTCCAGGCCCTTGTGAAGTGTCTCCCCAGGCCCAGTGAGCTCCCCCAGCTGCCCCCACCACGCTCAGGCCCCCTGGGCCAAACCCTGCCCCGTGCTGAGGCCTGAGCAGAGCCCAGCTGCCACTCACCGTGTGGATGCCCAGCCCGTTGAGCATGTACACCAAGTCCTCTGTGGCCACGTTCCCAGAGGCTCCCTGGGCATAGGGACACCCCCCAAGTCCAGCCACGGAAGCGTCCACCACGCTCACCCCCATCTGCAAACAAACCCAGAGTCAGGGGCTGCTCTGGAGGCACAAAATCTGCAATTCCCAAGCAAGCACCAAAAAATCCCAAGGAAAACTGCTTCATTTGTGTGGCTGCCTCATCCCTGGAAGTGTCCCAGGCCAGCTTGGATGGCACTTGGAGCAGCCTGGGACAGTGGGAGACAGGCAGGAGGTGGAACAAGATGGGCTTTAAGGCCCTTCCAACCCAACCATGCCATGAGTCAGTGATCCAGAGCAGGAATCCTACCTGGAGAGCCACCAGGATGTTGGCCAGAGCCTGTCCGTAGGTGTCGTGGCAGTGGACAGCCAGAGCTCCCACGGGCACCTCCTTCATGACCACTGCCAGCATCTCCTTCATGCTGCCCGGGGTGCCCACGCCGATGGTGTCCCCCAGGGAGATCTCATAGCACCCCATGGAGTACATCTTCTTGGAGACCTGTGCCACAGCCAGCACGGGCACTGAGAGGACAGCTTTCCCTCCCCACAGCCGATTCCTGCTGCACCACCATCCCCTGGACACTTCCTTCCCTCCCCACAGCTGATTTCTGCTGCACCACCATCCCCTGGACACTCTTCTCTGGGATTAAAAACCTCCAGGTGCCCAAACCTCCCTCAATTCCCCATTTCAGCTGGATTCAGCCTCTGGATATTCCCTTAGGTTAAATGGTCTGACACATCCCCCAGTGCCCACTTCACATCACTAAAAATAAACCAAAACCCTCTCAGGAATTCTGGCTGCATTTATGACTTACCTCTGCAACTTTAGCTGCAGAAATCTTGCCTTCATAGGGACATCCAAGGACACAGGAAACGTATCTGTGGTTAAAAGAAACCCCACACTTTTAGCTGGAAAAGGGAAGTGGGATTCTACTGGACAAATCAGTCAGGACTTGTCTATCTTCCATGTCTGTAAGATGGGAGAAGCAGTTTTATATTCCAGAAGTCCAGTGGCCAAAGGTTACAGGATTTCAACAATTTCTTCTTCCATGTGTGTGAAGCTTGCCAAGATGAGCCCACAGGGCTGGTGGATGTGTGGTCTGTGCATTTCCATATGGGATATTTGCCAAGAAAATCTGATCCAAACTGACTGGATTATTCCAGAATGAATGGTTAGTTACATGTGGGTGAATTCCAGCAGGAACTCCTTACCCCCTGACAGGAATGCTGGCTTCCCTTGCTGCCTTCATGACCTCGTCAAACCTCTCCAGGCTCTCCTCGATGGAGCAGTTGATGTTTTTCTTGGTGAACAGCTCAGATGCTGCCCCAAAGATCGACACCTCTTTGGCCCCAGCTGCCACCTGCAAAGAAAAAATCCTAAACTGGAAGCACAGGACCACTGAGGGTGGAAAAGACCCCTGAGATGAGCAGGTCCAACCCTTAACCCAGCACTGTTGTTAAGTCAAGGCCAGGTGATTTCTCTTGCGAGGGAAATCACAAACAGAGACACAACTTCATGGCCAAGTGTTAATTCAAGGGTTTCAAACCTCTTGGTAGAGAGCCCCATAAAGCACTTCCCTTTACAGAGGCTCTTCTGTTCCTAAATAAATCTGCCCTGTTTACTTACACTTGAAGATCTTGGAGATCTTCTCCAGCCTCAATGGCTCTGATCTACAATCTCTGACTGCAGTTCTTTCACTTTACAGAAGTATTTTTCCCCCAAACAACCCAATCCTTCCCTAAGTTCATTCTGCAGCAAGACCACCAGGACACATCTGACTTTGCCTTGAAAAGGGTGAAGCCACAGGTACAGGAGCAAAGGATAGGTGAGACTGGAAACACCCCAGTGTGGATATTCAGGTTTTCCCAGCCCTTACCGCTGCCTGGAATCCCTTCAGGTTTGGAGTCAGCACAGGGTAACTGATCCCAGGTAATTTATTAATCCCCTGCATGACCTCGGTGTGATCAGCCATCTGCAAAGCAAACCAGAGGGGGACAACTGCCACTCCTGCCAGCCAGAAAATCATCACTAAAATTCCTTTTTATAAAGGAAACAGAAATATTTAGGGATCAAGCCTCTAAAAGCAAACAGAACTGCACCCTGTGAGGGGTCAGGGGTCACCCAGCCAAGCCAACATGTACAAACAGATGTTTATGTGTGACCTGTCTGTCCCTTTGCTCTTTTCCAGGGTCCAAAGGGAAACTCTGGGATATTGTAACTCCTCTGCTGGTTCTTGCCCAGTCACAGGGATTTGGGAGCAAGCAGAATCACTGGACTGCTGCACTTTTAGAACACAGCACTGCAAATCTGTCTGAACACTGACCTGAGGAACCCACTTGGGGGACACGAAG